GAGAGAGAGAGAGAGAAAGGGTATAAAAATGAAATAATATTATAATTTTATTTTTCACTCGATTTTTCAATGAGAGGACGAGTTGTGACCAAAACGTGAATTGTTTTGTCGTTTTGTTAAAACTTTTTGCGTTATTTAAAATTTTATTTTTGTTAATCATTAGTATTTATACTGTGTTTGCAGTTGTTTAAGATAATTAATAATTTAACTTATTTAATTAATTTTGGAAATGTATAAGGTATGTAAAATGTATTTCTTGTATATTGATAAAATAATAACATAATATACTATCATGAAACCAATTAATATGTTTTATAAACTTATCTATAATATATATTATGTTTAATTTTTTCTACTACAGTTTGTATTATGAACAAACATTAATGTATATCTTGACTAGAATAGAAATCTATTTAATTATTTATATGATACCAGTTAAATTAATAAAGTAAATTTGCAAATTATTAACTAATAACTTATTGTTAATAATTTAATTATATAAAATAACACAAATTACAACGTATACTTTATTATACAAATATATATTTTATTATATATCTTAAAAGTATATATCTATATAGAAGAAAATATGATTAAAATAATAATTATAATGAATCGAGTCTGCGATCTTATCCCAATTAAATTACATTAATTTACTAATTCAAATAAATTATTTACATTAATTATAATATACAGTTTGGAATTAATAAAAAATATAAAAATATTTTAAACTAGATAATTGTCATCGCACTGTGCATAAGCCACTGCCGGGGCCAACTAGCTATACCCCAACATCAACAACATCGGGCGTACACCTACCAGCGCATATTTGACGTAGATGGTCTACTACCCATCGCAGCACCTGTAGCCGCACCGGTAGCCGTAGCGCCAGCACCCATACACCCAATCGCCACATCGCAACCTCACATACAATCACACGTACAGTACAGCCAAGAGATACTACCGGTGCAGCACCTGAGCCCCACCGATCCGGACCCGGTGGGCGTCGGCCTACACGCCCGGTCGGGGCCGCAAATAGTGCAACTCCGAGGCGACGACGTGCCCGTTGTCGTACACTTTCAGACCCAGTCGGCGCGCGTACAGGTGGAGCAGTCGCACCTGCCCTCAGCTCCGGGAGAGGTAACAATCACCCGGTCGGAGGACGAGCCCCATCGGGTCATACACGAGGTGATACGTCCGGTGATACAGGAGGTCCGCGAGATTATACAACCCTATAGGCGCCTGAGCCAAGAGGTCAGGCCTGTCGAGGAGGCGGTGCATACGAATGTGGCGGCCAACGCACCCGTAGCTCCCGTTGCCAATCAAGCCGTACAACTGGCACCTGTAGGACAGGTACAACAGGCGGGCGTTTCAAATTTTAGCGGTTATATACAGCAGATATTGGAGCAGCTCCGCGCCCGTAATGTGCAACAGCCGTTCACTGCTAGTAGAGCTCAAATTAATGTGGCACCTGTAGCTCATGGTGCTGGCAATGCCCAGCTGGTCCGACATCCATTTGCCCCGGTTCAATTGCAGCCACTAAAACATGTTTAATCCTGCTATAAATGTAATTGTTTATCTGATACTGGTGTTTTTTTTGTAGCTAATGATGTTAATATTTAATTATATTTTTAAGTTGATAAAATAAATGTGTTTTATATTCAATAAATAAGTTTTGATGATTTAATTATAAAATCTATTTTATAAATATCAATAATTTTTCAACTGTACACAATTTATAAAGGTTACTGTACATACATTTAATATGATCTAATAAATGTTAAATGGAAATGATGAGCGCGCGGGAATTTTTTACATAAATTTACAATAATATGTAAACTTACGTATATAACTTGGTCTATATTGCGAATATTGGAATTTTATGACTGTATACTTACCACTACTTCCATAGAAAAGATTTAGTAAAAACAATTAAAAATAGGCGACAGAGCCAAGAGGTCAGGCCTGTTGAGGAAGTACACAAGTTAACACAAATGTGGGGCCAACGCACCCGTAGCCGGTGGGGCCGTAGCCCAGTTAGCCGTACACTAGAGGCACCTGTAAAGCATGTACAACAGGCGGCCGTTTCAAACTTTAGCGGTTATATACAGCAGATATTGGAGCAGCTCCGCGCCCGTAATGTGCAACAGCCGTTTACTGCCACCCGGGCACAAATTAATGTGGCGCCGGTAGCTCATGGTGCTGGCAATGCCCCTGTGGCCCGACACCCATTCGCTCCGGTTCAATTACAGCCGCTTAAACATGTTTAATCCTGCTATAAATGTAACTGTTTATCTGATCCTGATGGTCTTTATTGTCAATGACGTTAATATTTAATTAAGTTTGTAAAATAAATGTTCTCTATATTTAATAAATAATTTTTGATAATTTAATTAAAAGGTCTACATTTATAAATATAAATAACTGCTAAACTGTACATAATTTATAAAGGTTACTGTACATACATTTAACATAATTTAATAATTTCTAAATGGAGATGAGTAGAACGGCAACTTTTTTATACACATTTCTAATAATATGCAAACTTACGTATATAATTTATTGTTAAAATTTTATGTTTAAATTTGTATAATGAAATTTTAAAAATATAAAAATTTATATTAAATTCCGCGGTCTTTGCTCTTCCACATATTAAATTATTTAAATGAGATTGATGCAATATTTTATGTGTTTAAATCTAATATTATTGTTTCATTTTATACGCCCCTGAATTTTATATTCTCAATACAATTATTGTATCTAGTTGTTACAATACATTTTATTTTTGATTCAGTAATATCGATTCAACAACCAATCAAACTATTTATATTATTTTTAAATGACATTATTTTATGCACAATTCGGTCCGCGGTTTTTATCACTGAATACTCCCCAATACTGACATAAAACAGTTAGCATTAAAAGTTATTATTAAAATTATTAAATTAAAAGTTAGCATTAAAAGTAGTCCTGTATTAAATGTATATTTAATAAATACATTTTTATTTTTTGTTGTTTATCTATTTATTCTACAGTATATTAATATGCAAATTAAGTGATTAACATTGATAGATTAAACAATTAAATTAATTTAAATAACAAGTTTATCATTTATAATAGTATATAAAATTAATAGTTAATTGTAAATTAAACTAACGTTAAAAAAATCTTATATAATTTACGCGTTAAAATTATCTAAAGTTTTAAAATAAACTAGATTCTTATTATGAATTATAAATAATGTCAATATCAATAACGTACAAACTGTACATAATTTGTAACAGTTACATTACATACATTTAACATAATCTAATTAATTTTAAATGGAGAAGAGAAGTGGACGGGAATATTTTTAACATAATTAAACAAAAACATAAAAGAATATAGTTTATATAATTGCCGTGCTGTCCAATTGTGTACACTAACTTTTATTGATTACTTTTTCATAATCAAATTATAAAAATATAAAAAACTTATATTTAATAGTTAGTGTTACGGCCAAATAATAAATAATTAAAATCAGATTGATGCTATATTTTATATGTTGATATTTAACTTACAGTTTGTGATAATGTATAAAATTATCATGAATATTATATTAATCTGGTAATATCTATTTCATTTTATAAGTCCATGAATCTTATATTCTTAATAAAATAATTTTACCCCGGTGCTACAACTTTATTCACTCTTTATTAAGTTCAACCAATTCAACAATCAATCAAAATATTTATATTAGTTTAAAAAAAACATTATTCTACTCACAATTGTGGTCGGGTGGATCTTATAATTCACATAAATTTTGTATATACTTATAAATTAATGCTAAAAACAAGCTATCTCCACTGCTCACAAGTACTGATATAAAAATATTTTATAAAAACAATTACACAATTAAAAGTTAGCAAGTCTTGATTATTATTCATTTAAAAGTATTTATTATTTTTATGCGCCTAAATATTAATATTAGTAAAATTATTAATATTTTTTAATGTTCAATTTTGTTTTATTTATTAGCCTTGCTCATTAAAATATGTTAATTACAATTATTTTATCCATGTTATTTATTTGCCCAATGGATTATAACTACCATAATTAACACACTGTTCGCAATCGGGTTTCTCCACACACTGACAGTCGGACAGTCGGCGCCAATAGCCGGGCGCGCACTGACAGGCGCTTTGTAGGCAACCTTTGGGCGTATCGGATAGGGCTGGACAGCCGCACACGTCGGGCGCTAATGTACCGCACGTGACATTACTATCCATAGGACCGCCCAAACACTGACCATTTAATGGGGCCTGACATCGAGCCAGATGTATGTTGCGCAAAACTATTTGCAACAAGGTGGTTTTAGTTTAATTAGGTTAATACTGGACTAATGCATGAGATGTATATATTTATAAAAATTTTTTAACTTTTGAACTTAATAAAAATATAATAAACATACCTGGGCAACATTCGAGTGGCATGCAACGGCCATTATACTTATCTAGAACCCAACCATTTTTGCACATGGTGGTAGAAGTAACGCAATTTAGCACACATTTTGTATCGCAACAGTTGGGAAACGGGTCGTCACAAGTGGCCGGACAAGGGTTACGGCAGCAACAGGTGGTGCCATTGGGGCACTGTATTAGACCACAATCTATTAATGTATAATGAATTAATTAGATAGATTAATTTACAAAATAATATAGGAATAATCAATTGAATGTTTGTTTGTTAAACAGATCAAATAATTCAATTATAAATTACATTAAGTTAAATATTCAAATTCTAATACACTATGATTAATAATGGATAAATTTTAATTATTATTATATTTTTTAAATTACTGGAATGTGATAAAACAAAACTGACCCTGTAATGGTTTTTTATAATTCATGTTCATTTAGTTATTAATACAATATTTATAAATTATTTGAAATAATAATATAAAGTAATAAATATATAAACATATATAAAGTTATATTAGTTAGATTAAGTAAAATTGAGTTGCGCTAATAAGGCATATTTTTGGTCGTAGTTAAGTATGCATATCCTAGTGAATTAAACGTTTAATTATTTTATAACGTTACTTTGCAAGCAGAAATAAACATTATCCTGGGCGACCACAACAATTTTAACTTTGGGAACTTGAAAAACAAATACCCACCCGGATACAATAAATAATAATTTTATTAACTTAAACATTCTTGTTACAGTAGTGAATTGCAAAGCTACGTATTAAAAACATAAAGCTAATTTTTGTAATAAATAAATATTTTAAAAACTATTAAACAATAAATAATATTTCAAACATGTTTTTATTTTTATTTCAAACAATAGACCAGTTGATTGAGTTTAAAAATTAGTCTTAATACAATGTTATAAATTAAGCTGCTATTAATTTATATCAATATGCTGCTAATATTTTTATTGTAACATCAAGTTAAAAATTTAATTTTATTATTAAATTATTAGTTGTATCATTATAAATGCATTTTATATTAATAAGTAATTTATTCTACATATTGTACATATTTAATAATAAGAGTAATAAAAATGATTATTACAAACAAATAAATTAATTCAAAAATTATATAATATTGGAATTTATTATTGTCAATAATTTATCAATTTGTTTTATTAATTATCCATTGTTAATTAATAAATATTTTATTTAGAAACAACCTTGGTGGTATACACATAATTATAAAAACTGATATTTTGGCTGTCAACCTAATCCTCAAACAAAAACAAACTAGTTTTATTCAATTGAAAGCATTATATTTAGTATTTAATTATATATTCGGCACACGGAATGTCGATTTCAGCTAATATTAATTACCACATATAAATATACCAAAATGCAATTTAGAAACACTATGTTAAATTTCCATTAGTTTCATCGTGATAATAATGCCTTACCCTATATGATGGTCATTTTTACATAAATTCAATGCCAAACATATTATGATATCTAATGAGATGAATGTATTATTGTTGAATTGCTTAGTCTTAGGGCTTATCTTATAAAACAAATGAGAGAGAGAGAGAGAGAGAGACCTTCACATTATGAAGTTCACAATTAATAATAGAGTCAAAATTTATTTGGCATAAAACAAATCCCTCATTATTTGACAAGTTTGTTCTAGGGTAAAAATAGTTTATTTCTATCTAAAATTATACTCATGGGCTAGTGTAAATTTAATGTGAGGTATAATGTACATGTGCTTATTAATATTGTTGTTTATTATATTTGTAAATGTATGTCTCACTCAATGTAAGTTTTATTATTATTATTTTAATTATTTATATAAAAACACTTTGTCTATTAAGTTAATATAAATAAAATATTGTATATTATAATTTACCCAATATTGAAGTTTGGAAGCTATTCAATAAATCTACAACATTTTATGAATTAATAGTTTTACTAAATTATTAAATAGAAGATAAAGATTCTTTACCATTTTATACTATGTTGTTGGTTCATGATAAATTTAAATGCTAATTAAATGTTACTATACAGTTAGAAAATCTCATCATTATATATTTATTTTAATCATTTGTATATACAATTAATTAATTAACAAGCAGACTGTAAATGAATAGTTTCAACATAATATATAATTACAACCAACATATTTTTATTTATAATGGCTGCAGAGGAAATATAATATTATTTATAAAATTGTAAATTTTATGTACATAGCACAAAATGTGCCCTCGCTAAAATTGGTGGACGGCCGTCGAATACCGATGATCGGTTTGGGCACTTTGACCATCACCAATGAAACAGTTATCAAACAAGTGATCGATGATGGTCTGGCGGTCGGGTACCGGCATATCGACACCGCCTACTTCTATATGAACGAGCGGTTTGTCGGCGAAAAATTACGGGAAATATTTTCCCGCCCGCGCGGGTCGGGACCCGACGGGATTGGCCTCCAGAGGCGTGACATATGGGTCACTAGTAAGCTGTGGTGCACTTATCACAGCCGGGCAAAAGTGGCCGAGGGTCTAAAACTGACCCTAAAGCGATTAAATATACAATACCTAGACATGTATTTAATACACTTCCCGTTTGGGTTTGAAGAGGGCGGCGAAGATATACCCCTCACCCCCGATGGGCTGACTCGTGACTCAAACGTGTCAGTGGTGGAGACGTGGAAGGGTATGGAGGATGTTTACCGAGCTGGTTTGGTCAAATCGATTGGTGTGTCTAATTTTAATGTAAATCAGCTATGTAGATTGATGCGCCAGTGTCAGATTAAGCCCGTGGTTAATCAGGTAAACATTTTGATTATGATTATTTTGTTATTTTATTTACTGATTAAATTGTTATTTCACACAATTATTTTTTCATAAACACAAATAGTTGAATTATAATTATTAAATGTAAAGTTTATTTAATTTGTAATCATAAAAACTTATTATGCAAATTTTATTATTTATAAGTAATGTATTTTAATCTAGCTCGAGATACACCCATATTTGGCCGAGGTAGAATTAGTTAGATTTTGTCAACGTATGGGCATACGAGTGGAGGCCTATAGCCCACTGGCAAAAGCAAACCAAACTCTATTAAATGAACCCATATTAGTAAAAATTGGCCAGAGATTTAACAAAACGCCTGCCCAAGTGATAATGCGCTGGCTCATTCAACGTAACATAGTAGTTATACCTGGTACAACTAAAAAACACAGATTGGTTGAAAATTTTAGTTTGTTTGACTTCAAATTGACCCAGGACGACATGAAACAGATTTATAGTTTAGATCGTAACTGGCGCAAAACTGATTTCCCACCTGCGCGATTCAATAGCGAATACCCTTATAATCGCATGGGATTTTAGCTGGCTAATACGTCAGTTCCACAAAAATTGTTCTAGGTTGTATCTTGGGCGACCGCTACAATTTTAACTTTGGGCACTTGGGTACTTAATGAGTAACCACCCGGATACAATAAATAATAACTTTATTAGCTCAAGCATTGCTGATACATTGGAAATTGTAATAATCGGGTATTAATAAATAAAACTAATGTTTGTAATTAATAGTTATTTTAAAACCGATTATACAATAATTAATTTTTATTAAATATGTTTTTATTTTATTTAAAACAATAGACCACTTGGTTAATATAAAAAATTGTTTCAAATGTAGCATTATAAAATAAATTGCTATTAGATATATTAAAATTATTAATATTATTAAACTATAAATAAAATACACTAATTTTATTAAAATTTGGTTAATTATAAGTTATTTCGTGATTCATTATTATAAAATTGCATATTTATTGTAAATGTATCTACAATAGTGTGACCAACTCGGTTTTGACCAATAGTGTACAAAATGATAAAATTGAGGCTAAAATAGTGTACAAATAGTGTACATAAATTTTTTTAATGAGTTTTGTATTAAT